TTTAATATGTGAAAGAACAGGCTTCTTATTACACCATAACTCATATGGTGTCTTTTGCACTGATTTAGATGGAACTCTATTCAGAATGTATATCGAAGTTTGCAATGCATACCCCCAAAGAGATGTTGGAAGAGACGTGGAATTCATCATGGACCTAACCATGTCTAACAATGTTCTATTTCTCCTTTCAGAGACACCATTCAATTGAGGTGTTCTTGGAGGAGTCCATTGTGACTGAATTCCGTGACCTTTTAAGTAATCAAGAAACTCCTTACTCAAGTATTCCCCTCCACGATCAGATCGTAGAGTCTTGATACTCTTGTCAAGTTGCTTCTCTACTTCAGCCTTATACTCCATGAATTTCTCAAAAGCTTCTGATTTGTGTTTCATAAGATACACAAATCCAAACCTAGAGAAATCGTCAGTAAACGTGATGAAGTAAGAAAAACCTCCTCTAGCTTGAGTTGGGAATGGTCCACACACATCTGTGTGAACCAATTCAAGCACTTCTTTGGCCCGTAGTCCTTTTCCAAGAAAAGGTTTACTCGTCATTTTAGCTGAGAGACACGAATCGCAATTACCATATGATTCAAAATCAAATGGTGTTAAGTAATTTAATTTACTTAACCTTGCTATTCTGGCTTCATTAATATGACCAAGCCTACAATGCCAAAGATATGTGGTATTTTTCAAGTTACTTAACCTTGGTCTTTTATTTTGTACATTTAATATGTCATGTCTACAATTAAGAACATATAAACCATTCATAAGAGGAGCATTTCCATACACAATACCATTTTGTGAAAAACAACAAGTGTTATTAGCAAAATGAAAAGAAAAACTCTCAATGTCTAACATAGGAATGAAAATTATGTTCTTTGTTATAGAAGGAACAAAATAACAACTATTTAGTTCTAATATATAACCACTGGGTAAATCTAATATATAAGTCCCTACACGTTCAGCGTCAACTTTTGCTCCATTTCCTACACGTAGGTCAATCTCACCTAGCCTAACTGCTCTACTGTCATTTAGGCCTTGCACACTATTGTAAATGTGTGAGCCACAAGCCGTATCTAATACCCAACAGTGAAAGTTAGTTGTAGACATATTAATATCAATGACAAAAATGCCTAAGCTAGAAGCACTCGGTGCTTTGGCTAGATTAGTTCTGTATATCTCACAATCTCTCTTCCAATGTCCTATCTCTTTGCAGTAGAGACATACATCATTTGGTACCTCAGCAATGTGATTCTTCTGAATGTCCTTGTCAAACATGGCTAATTCAGAAGAGCTAACATCAAGGATCTCGGGTACACATGTATCAAATACATGTTCGATATTTTCTTGCCTAAGAACGAAACACATATTTTGTTCCAAGTCTAGAAAGTTTGGTTCAATCAGATTATTTGTATTCATGATACTTCTCAATGATAAATTCGACATACCTAAAAGCCTAAAGAAGTTCAAATAGAACGGAATTAAAATCATATATTAATTATTTAGCTCCCACTATTTTTACATGCTCTTTGCCCCCAATAAAAGGAACATGGAATGCTTTACAATCATAGTGGCCAAAATCCTCATTCATACTATTACAGTCCCAGCTTGGGCTGATCACTGCAATAATATAATGGGTAGGTCCCTAGACCAATTGCATCCAAGCAACTTTTGGTTGATCAATTTAAATTGATCGACATCCCTAAATTAACACTGACGCTTGGGCGACTCGAGCTAATTTAAGTAAGTCAAAACCATCACACGATCACAAACAATTGTACCTATAAATTAGTTCTATATTTTATCGAATGGAATAAACACTTGGGTGAAATATTCTTCAGCGAAAAAATATTTTTACTAATTTAATTATGATGGGTGATGTCGTTATCCCAGATAAGACTTAAATTTTAATTTATGGAGAACATTTAACGGGGTATTTAATTACTTAATCAAGATACTAAAATATATTATCAAATGATATACTAACGAGATCTAACTCAGACAGATAAAATTAAAGCACACAATATAAATCTAATTTATAAACGAATATAATCGTCAAACTTTAAAATAAAAGCATGCTAAATAATAAAACATTCAGTGATCTTAAGTTCATTAAAATTAATCTTCTTTAATCTCAAAGATAACTAATCAAATTAAAATAAGATTAATATTAAAACCGAATCATTATTATTTTATTTCTGTCGTATAGGCATATAGCTGTAAATCCTAACCAAGCTTACACCAAAAAATCGCCAATCAACTATTGATTAATTTTAATTCAAATAAGGTTACAATAAAATTTAGTTCTTCTAAATTCTATCTCAATCTTATTAGTTGAACTCTTACGGCTGTTGGATTTAATAACAATTCAAGGGGTATATAAATTGCAATTTCTAATGATCTGTAACAGACTCCAAGATGCCAACTCACACTCCGTATTACACTCCATGTTAAAGTGAAAACATTGAAGTCCTAGTCTTCACTAAAAAAACTAAAAGTCCCAAACTCCATTCCAGGTTGGACTCTCACGACAGTCACGGGTAGATCTTCAATTTTTGAGATTTTCCATATTTTAACTTCTAAAAACAAACCATATCACGATAGGTTCTAAAACAAAAAATATCTAATTCTGATCCCAGATTTGATTGAAGTAAAAATATTATTTCTGAAAAATATTTTTACATACGAAAATATCGATCAAAATTCGTATAATGTCATTAAAATCAGTTTGGCTCTGATACCACTGTTAGGAAATTGATGTAACGTATCTCGAAAGTACGGCAGCGGAAGTTTAAAATTTTCCCAAACAGATCTTCCCTGATTATGACAAAATAATGAATATGATAATAATAACAGATATGAGTTAGAACTTACAGATCTTCCAACCTAGCGGTGATAATCCTTGACCTTTGGTATCCACGTGATTTCTCCTTTCCGAAAGAACGATTAGATTTCCCTAAGAGAAAGACTAGGAAATCTCTTCGCATGGAAATAAACTGGTAATACTGAATCTTAAAAATTAGTCTCTGAATTGTGAAGGAGGAGGGTGTATTTATACTAGTTCTAAACTAGTTTCCTAATCACAACCAAAGTCTTACTCGTTAATGAGTTATAGTCCTACCAGGACAAATACATCATTATTAATTAAATAAGTTGGATAAAACATAATAATAATAATAATAACAATAGAGAAGTGGTTGCACGCCACTCTCTATATGTTATTTATTATTATTTAGTTTATTTTATTTTCCTTTTTAATTCCAAATCAATAAAAGAAAATATCAACTTTATTTAATAATAAATACACCTTAATTAGGTATAATAAATCTAATTTATCACACTTAATTTATTCTATCAAATAGAACTCTCCTTCAACATCATGAATTAAATATAGTTTAATCTAACTAATATTTAATCCATTTCAGTATTACAAATTAAATATTATTTAATCCAATTAATATTTAATTCCTTCTAACAATTCAATCGGAAGGTATAATCACTTGTTGTGTGACCCATAGGGCCTTATATATTAAGCACTAATCAAATTAAGGTCTTGGCAGAATCCCTAGATGATTTACCAGACAATCTTAATATATAAGGACGTTTGCGAGGACTATTCAAACTCCCTGTAATATAAAGCTCATAGTGATACGGTCCTTTCATTCAACGAACATTCAACTAAGTCTAGAACATGATATTGTGTCTATCCCAATAACTCAGTCTCTGTCTCTCAATCTTTCTAGATGATCCATAACGATCATATTCGATATCCAAAACGAATATATCTTTGCATTGGCCAATGACTTTATGATCCATCTAGATATGAGAAGTAGAATGTTCTCTCTTAATCTATTATGAGGAATGAATCCTTTCTTGGCTCAACTACTACTCCATGTGCTTCGTGATTCACCCAACACATGTCGTATCTACCCCGATTGGAGTGCAAGCGATGGTCATGGTCAAAGTACATCACTCCGCACGTGTAGTACGTATTGACCTCAAGTCGGAGGACTATTACACTACTCTATACTCCGATAATCTCATAGACACATGAATAGAACTTATCAAATGGTTTCTCGGTGGGTATGCCAATATTCTCTAAAATATCTATGTGACCATCATGAATTACAGGAACTCATAGTCGTGACATCAACTATACTTTCTAAAAGTATGATGCAGTCCACATACCAATCTTATCCCATATCATCAATATCCCATTCTTGATGATCATTGATTGGGGCTATTTTAGGACCTTATGTTATATCATATAAGCTCCCACTTACTTATTGACAACATAAATCCAAGGGAACACAATTATGAATAAAACATTGACAATCGAAAAACAATCATTCATAAAGTGTAATCGGATTCTAGGGGTCGTTTGAGAGGAAATAGAGGATGAGAGAAGGGGTTGAAGGAAGGATTCACACGTTTATGTGTGTGTTAAGTGAAAATAGTGGAGAGAATTAAAAAGATTCAGCCAAAAGTGTAGTAATAATTCACATCTAGTATCACTATATTTATCATAGTGTCATGAGTTAGTGATACTTTTATGTTAAATATTATGTCAGTGACACTAATTTTAAAACGTGTCACTATAAAAGTGTCACTATAAGCCAGTTTTCAGTAGTGACAGCCAACATCGCTGCCGGCGACCACCACCTCAGGCCACCGACGACGACCACTACCTCCGGCGACCGCCGGCGACCTCCAATAGCCGCCGCCCATCCAAAAACCGCCATCACCCATCGAACAGTGCCGCCAGCACCATGTCCCTTCCTCAGCCACAACCCCCTACGCTGCCCCAGCCACCTTGCATCCGCCCTCTCAGCCTCGCAGCCCCCACTACCATCCCAACGTTGTCTCCCACTTGTTGTCGCTGCTCCCAATCACGCTATGTCCCAGCCCTAGGTTCATGTGCCGCAATCGTTAACTAACCCTAGTCGCCGGCAAGATACTCTAGATCGAACGGTGACCATCCAGATCTAAATCTTTGACAGTGATAGGTTGTGAGAAAGAAAGGAGAAGAAGCAGAGATGAAGAAGTGGCGACGAGAGGCTCACGGGTTCTGTAGCTTCGATGATGGTGGCGCGGGAAGAAGATATGGAGTTGCAGTGGCAGCGCGGGATAAAGTTCGGACATGCGGTACTTCTACGATGAGGACGAGTGACGATGTGCTGTGGAGGGAGGGCGACGCTAGCAGAAGCAGAGACGCGGACAATTCTTTGCAACGAAGAAGGAACGATGCAGATGTTAGGGTTAAGGGCATTTTGAGTGTTTCAGCATTTAGTCTCTTTTTTGTCCATACGAATTTATGGTCACATTTTTGTCAATTGTAAAGTCCCTAGTATTATTCTGGTCATTATTTCAAAATATTATCATGTTAAATTTTGGTAATGTTAAAACATGACAATTACTCTATTTAGAGAACAAAATAAGAACAAACTATGACAATTTTAATTTAAAATTTACAAACGTTT